TATCAAAAGCCGCTGAGAGGTCCAAAAGAACAAGGACAGAGGAGCAACCCCTGTCCCGGGCCCTCCAGAGATCATTTACCAACGTGACCAATGCCGTTTCCGTGCTGTACCCCGGCCTGAAGCCCGACTGGAGAGGGTCCAGATAGACCGTTTCCTCCAGGTGCCGGGGAAACTGCCGTGCAACCACACTCTCAACAACGATGATCTTTCCCCCTTTGGTTTCCACCCGGGATCTTTTTTCAATCAGCCAATCAGAATAGAGCTGGAAGGGACCTTGGAGGCCTTCTAGTCCAACCCCCTGCTCAGGCAGGAGACCCTATACCAGGGGTAGGCAACCTTGGCCCTTTTATGACTTGCGGACTTCCACTCCCAGAATGCCTCAGCCAGGCACGCTGGCTGAGGAATTCTGGGAGTTGAAGTCCGCAAGTCATAAAAGGGCCACGTTTGAAGGCCCCTGTTCCTAGTCTAACCCCCTGTGCTCAAGTAGGAGACCCTATATCCAGACAAATGGCTGTCCAGTCTCTCCTTAACAGCCTCCAGTGTTGGAGCACCCACAACTTCTGGAGGCAAGTCGTTCCACTGGCTGTTTTCACTTGGTTTCTCCTTAGTTCTAGGTTGCTTCTCTCCTTGATTCGTTTCCATCCGTTGCTTCTGAGTGCTTTGGGGAATAGGCTGACACCCCCCCCCCCCTCTTTGGCAGCCCCTCAAATACTGGAATACTCTTTCAGCCTAATCTTTATAAAACCGCCCCTCTGAGCCTCACCTGGGCGCATCCACCCCGCGCACGTTCTCAACGTGGTGGTGGTGGTGGGGTTCTCAGACTACAGTTCCCATCGTGCCCAACCCCCGTTGGGACTTGAAGGATGCGACTGAGTCCCCCTCACGTGGTTGAGAAAGGCTCCCCCTCGCCCCGCCCCCCCACAGTCTTTCCCACCGAGCCCGCCAACGGTTACCTGTCGCCTCAACTGGCCCTCCCGCCGCTCGCTTCTCTTCCCCTCAAAAAGCTTCGACGGTCTCTTCCGGCTCCCCTCAGCTCCCCTTTCCAGTCACACCGGAAGACCGCCCTCCTTCTTGCCTTCTTCCCTCTTTTAATTGGCTGGCAGTTTCCCCGCCCCTAGACGTCGCCTTGGTCGGAAGCCACGCCACTCAAAACACGTAGGCCCAGGCGCTAGTTCTTCCCCTGTAGCGAGCCTACAAGGACCAGCATGCACCACGGCCAGAGTCGCTCTTGCCCCGCTTCCGCCTGCCTTCGGCTATTGTGCTGTGTCACGTCGGCCGGGCGGAAAGGCAAGGGAGGGGCTTCGGAGCTGCGGAAACGTTGCGCCCTTGGAGAATCGCGCCTTACGACGGAAGCGTACTGTGTAGCCCGGAAGTTTGCAGGGTTGCGTGCTTCGCTCCCGTAGATCTTTTCCTCTATATTGCAATGACACTAGATGGCCAGTAATTAGCATACACGCTAATTATCCATTTTTTAAAAAAAGATTATTTCAATCCGCTTCCTCCTCAGCCTATTAGGGCGGCCAGTTGTCCCCTCCGATGAGTTCGAGTCTCATTTTTGTGCAGGGATCGTGAGACACGTGTTGCCCCTGCTTCGGCTCTCAGCCTGGTGCTGAGGCGGATGTAGGTTTTGTTGTCTTTTATTGAAGCGCTCCAAGAAAAGGGATCCTGGCCAAAATGCCAAGGAGCCTCAAATCACAGAATTAATAAAGCTTTATACATTTTCCCTAAAGCAAGAGGCGGGATAAGGTGGCCTATATAAGAAATGTCATCTAATAATCATTTCAACAATAACCTAACAATTATTGTATTGGTCTCTAGCCGTCCCTGTTCCTAAACCTTGGCTAATGGATGCTTCAGGAGTTATATAATACAGGACTTTTCACCCATTGTACCACTTTTAGGATATGGCAATATCCAAGTACCACCAGTCGCCTAGCAAGGTGTCAAAAAATTGATGACCCAAAAAAAAGAGGAAAAAAGTGATGAAGTACAGGTAGTCCTCAATTTACAACAGTTTGCTTAGTGACTGTTCGAATTTACAATGGCACTGAAAAAAGTGCCCCCCAAGCCACAGCCGAGCAAGACACCTGCCTGCCCACCCGGCGGCGCTCTTCCTCCTGTCTGAGGTTTTCATTGTTGTGAGCATTTCTGTTGAGGATTGGCAGCGGGGGTGGGGTGGGGGGTGTTTGGTTTTTATTCCCCCCGTCTTCTGGGTGGTTGCAGCAGGTTTTGGTCACTTCACATGACCCTGGGACACTGTGACCATCATAAATATGAATCAGTTGCCAAGCATCTGAATGTAAATCACAAGACCCTGGAGATGCTGCAACATTCCAGCTGATCGGCGCTTCTTCTGGGCTCAGCAGAAGTGCCAGGATCAGCACCAAGCTCCAGCTGGAGCCTGGCACTGATCCTGGCAGTTCCACTGAGCCATGACAGCCCTGCAGCTGTCTCTCAGGTTTGTGCGGTGCTGCCACCGGTGGTACCCGTACCACTGGTTGAAAGCCCTGATCTAATATACATCCTACTTGCTCCAGGCCATCTCTATTCCTAATTTTTAGCTGAGTCTGCAAAATGCCTAACTCTTCATTACTTTTATCAGCTCTCTTAACCACCCAGCATTGTTACAAGCTTTACACGTGCATATTTCTTGTGAATAAGCATTCTTTGTTCTTGCCAAACTCCCCAATTACAGACTTCCTGGACTCTTTTGAAGTGTATGCCTAATCTTGCTTTGTTTTGGCATCCAGCCCATCACACGTGTACTGGGGTTGTGTAAATCAAGGTGGGATTTCCTCGCTGAGGACTTTTGCAAGCTTGATTTCATGCCTAGGGCTGCTAGAGAGGGAAAACTCCAACAATGTGCCTCCGGATTAAGAGACTCAAAATACTTGAAACTCGCCATAGCCTTTAATCCTAGATAGAAAAGCCAGAGCTTGCTATCACGAGGGGAATGCAAAAAAACCAGGTGACTGTCACCGAACTGGATTTTCAGGGAACTGAATATGTTGAGAAAAAGATGTTTTTGTAGACTAAAGTATTTTTTTATTTTGGGGGGGGCAGGAGAGTATTATTTGTCCGGTCTCTTTGCTGGAAAGGGTAGCAATATAGGTAGTCCTTGATTTACAACAACTGAGCCCAAAATTTTCATTGCTAAGTGAGACAAGTGAATTTTGCCCAGTTCACTATCATTCTTGCCACAGTTGTTAAGTGAATCACTGCTGTTGCTCAGTTAGTAACACGGTTGTAAAGTGACTCGGGCTTCCCCCATTGACTTTGCTTGTCAGAAAGTCACAAAAGGGGGATCACATGACCCCAGGACACTGCAACCCTCATGAGTCAGTTGACAAGCAGCTAAATTTTGATCATGGGGATGCTGCAAGGGTAATAAGTGTGGAAAACAGCCATAAGTCCCTTTTTTTTCAGTGCTGTTGTAACTTCTGTCACTAAACAAACTGTTGTAAGTTGAGGACTACTTGCAGACCTGTGTTCACACATGCTTAAACCCAGGCTGAAGAAAACTCCCTCAACTGTTCATACAATCTGAGACATGTTGCAAAACATCCTAATTTGGGTTGCCTAAGTTGCCTCCTTCCTTAAAACTCTTGACATGCAAGGATTTGGGTTTCTCCCTTGATGGAGTATCCTGGGATAGGACTTCATGGTTACCGCTTATTGCATTAGTTGTCACTCTCAAGGGAAAACCAGACAGAATCGAAGTGGGTATAATAAACCCAGGTCAGCGGATTCAAGGATGACCCGCTAGGAGAGCAGCTGATCCACCCATTTGTTGCAAGGGACAAAGCAAGGACCAAAACCTCGGGGTCTTCTCCAAAACAGCCTTTATTTGCATTGACACTTTTTTTTAACATTTATGTCCACAAACCTGTACAGACTTCTCTAAAAAGGTAAATATGAATTTGTAATAGTTAATATAGATGGGTATTGACAGTCGTTAAATATTATAAAAATAAATCCATTTCACGAAAGCCTTTGATTTTTAATATCCTCCGACATGTTCATGTAACATGGATAAGGCAAAAAACCACAGCCGGCATATTTCTGCCAGGAAGCACTCTTGTTTGGGACAAGCCGCATGGGAACTTACCTAAAAATGCAGAAGAGCATCACGGGATGCTTCTCCGCAAGCCCACGGATCCCAAACAGGGCTTAGCCCAAGAAATTCCAGGTGGATTGTGCCATGTACTTTTCTTATTAACAGGGATTATTAAGGGCAAAATAAAGAACACAAAACAGGACAGCAGCAGCAGCAACAGCAGCGGAGAATGAACGGGGAAATTAGAGCTGGAAACTGAGGCGTGTGCTTTTCCTCCCCCCCCCCCCACATGCTATAAACATCATAAAAATCATTTTTGTTAGAACCTTTTGCTTTATAGGTATTTAAATATTGCTTTACTTTACAATTAAACCCAAACCACTTAAGGATTTGAAAGAGGCAACGTTACAGTAGATCATTAAGTGAGGAATTAAAAACACGACATAAAGAGAACAGCCACATTTGGAACATTAAAATACACGGAATACCACAAAACATAGAAAAACTGAAGAACTACACAGGCACCTGAACTATTGGGATTATTACAATAATGTCTTTTTCAGGATTACAGGCTACCTGAGTGTCAACAGTTAGTAATCCGAAGCTTCTAAATTTTGGGTAAGCACTCTTGAGAATCAAAGAAAAACTTTCAGAAACTAATTCTAGATAGTACTGATTCACGTATTTGTATACAGTATTAACTTGCTTAAATAGATCTCTTATGCTTTAAAACTTATTATTTATGAAGCTTTTCGTCTAATATCCTACTTTGAGGACCAAGGATTTTTAAAGATGCCGAAGAGAAAGCACTCATGTATTGTTCCACCCCAAACTATGCAAAGTGCAGTAGTAATAAACTTAAATTATGTTTATCAAACTCCTCAAAAAGGGCCGTTTCCACCCTTTTCTCTTTACATGTAAAGGCTAACAGTGTAAATCAAATCATTATTAAGCAGTTTAAAAAAAAGAACAACAACCCTATACTTTCCAGTTAATGTCCACTTGTCAGAGAATTTAATGAATTAGTAGTGTTCCATCGATCAAGCATCTTGTTGAAGTGATCGAAAAATAATGCTCATCTGCAGGTTGCGTTGAGGACGAGAGCGAAGACGAGCAAAGGTTTGTGGACATGTTAACGTTTCCGGTGGGATTTATTTCGGAATAGGAAGTTTCATCTTCATTTCCATAGCCTGCTGCTGTCTTGCTATTTTAGAAATGGACTAGTGTGAAAGTCTTTGTGGTTACTTCTTGCTACGATAAGACTGCCTTTATTGTGAAGTCAACCTAATAGCACAGCAAGAAAAGCTATTAATCCACCGTGTTTTATTTACTCCAGTGTCGCAATATAGCATGAGGCATGTGGGTATGGAATTCTTCCTGATGCTGTAGAGTGAGGGGAAAACACCACAATCTGCAAATTAAAAGTTTTGGGTGTCGACCCATAGTCCTGGAGTCAAGCTAATGTATGCACGAGCCTTAATTCAAAACAAGGTACCCAGGTAAACACAATGGAAATAAGCAGCCAATAACTATTTTTTCCACATAAAAAAATATCTGCTTTAAGTTAATACCTATCTTAATATTTAACATGATTATTTCTTTATTTTAAAAGTGCTTTCCCCCCCCTCCCCATGGAATTGTCAAATGTAAGGCAGTGCTTAGGTTGTGAAGGTGGCGCTTATAATAAGTGCAGGTAAAAATGTAAACAAACTAAATGACTATCTTTTTCATAAGGAAAAAACCCCCAATAATAATATAATTAAAGCTTTTAAGGTCATCAAACTTTAGTGTGCGCTTTAATTCTAATCTGTTCTGAAGCTTTATATTTAGTATAGTACCCTGGTTAGAAAGAAAATATACATATATGTGGGAGAATGGGCTTGCAGCTTAAGAATTATTTTCCAGTACGATTAATCATATACAGAGAAACAAATTAGCTAAGTTAACAGCCTCCCACTAATTTCTACTGGACAGCAGATTTTCTGCAGTCTTAATTTCACACTATTTTTGAA